TCAGAGGATGAAAACAAAATCTTTGGAAGTAGAGAAATCCAAGCTGACTGGATAGCCTCAATGTTTTAGGGATTTGGCTGTGGAGCCAGAGGTTGGGAGTTCAATTCCCCCACTGGGCCTTCTGAAAATAGAACCAACCTGCTTGGCCTTGGGCAAGTGGCACAGTCTCAAGGTGCCCCAGGAAAAAGGAATGGGAAACCACTTCTGAAAACACTCTACCCCCAAAACGTATGCAACATTAAATTGCATAGTATGACCAGATGATGCCAATTCAGTGGGTAGAGCCAGTCAGAGACTGGAGGACTCATCAGACTATATGGGAGTAATCAGCTTGCTAGTTCTAACTGCAGTTGGATCAATGAGACTTCATGCTAATTTATCAAAATTCAATAAATCAGTGTCTATTCTGATTGAGATTAACAATAGGATTCAGACCTATGTCTTTTACTATTTTTTTATTATAACAATGATTTTTTTTAGGATGCAATAAATACATTACCTGATGAAGACAGGACACTTACTTTAATCCTATAGTTTTCTAACAACATGCTCAAAGTGCAGTATCATTCATTAATTCAGCAGTTGTGGGATTAAGCACTCTAGCATCCTAATGATTTCAGTTTGAGACCTTTAACCACAGGGTGAATGCTCCCGCTGAAATCGGTGGAGTTGAAAAGAATTATCATTTGCTAGATTTTATCTGGTGCAAAGCACAATGAACTAAAGAGTCAAGTCAATATTTTCCTATGAGAGTGGTTCTTAAGTCAAAATGTTCTTAACTCGAGCCGTTCTTAAGTCAAGACCCCACTGTATATGGGAGTAACCAGCTTGCTAGTTCTAACTGCAGTTGGATCAATGAGACTTCATGCTAATTTATCAAAATTCAATAAATCAGTGTCTATTCTGATTGAGATTAACAATAGGATTCAGACCTATGTCTTTTACTATTTTTTTATTATAATAATGATTTTTTTTTTTAGGATGCAATAAATACATTACCTGATGAAGACAGGACACTTACTTTAAGCCTATAGTTTTCAACATGCTCAAAGTGCAGTATCATTCATTAATTCAGCAGTTGTGGGATTAAGCACTCTAGCATCCTAATGATTTCAGTTTGAGACCTTTAACCACAGGGTGAATGCTCCCGCTGAAATCGGTGGAGTTGAAAAGAATTATCATTTGCTAGATTTTATCTGGTGCAAAGCACAATGAACTAAAGATGGCTTTGCTTCAAGATGAAAAGTTGTTTATCACTCTGAAGTTCTTTGCACAATATGACCCAGACAGGGCTGTACATTAGGGATGGGTCAGATGACTCACATTTTGCCATCTCATTCCCCCTGAGATTGGGGTTGGGACAATAGTTTCCATTGCTTGTCCTCAGAAAGCAGCTGAATTCACCTGAAACTTGATGACGGAGGAGAGGCTGTCTGAGGATGGCCCTTGCCAGTTTTGAGGTAGAAAAGCTCTTTCCCCTTCTGCCTCAGAACAGGCAATGGCCACCCTCTTTTAGATTATTTCTTTTAATTTTAATATTGTTATTCTTATTTATAACTTTTATTCGGATATGTTGCTTACTGCCCTGACCACTTTGTATATAGATTTAATCTGTCTTCAAGCAGTTAGACTATTGTTCTGCCTTGTCTTTCTTTAGTCTTTGCTAGGGTTAATATTTGCAACCCAGTTTCTTCTTCGGGTACAGTACATTTCCAGAGATGGTTTGTTGTGCTAAGCCAGGGAGAAATGTGCAGCAAGTGCTATATCACAGTACTATAAAAGTGTTTGTAGCTCCTGTTCAAAATGTGATTCCTCAGCTCATTTTAAGCAACAGAGCTCATAAAATCCACTCCACGAACGCACAGTCCAAAATGCCCCTGGAGTGCATCTTATGTGGGAGACAGAAGGACCAGTTGGGAGGGACCGTAGCTGGCTGCTGTGGAGACAGGGAAAAAGGCAGGAGAGGAAATACGGTTTCTTCTATTTTACAGACTTTTTCAGAAAAAAAAATTCTTAAGACAGCCTGCGCCCCCCCCAAAAGTTTTGAAACTGAAGGGCTAATATTACCTCTAAATGGTTAACTTGTTTTTGCTGGTGTTGTTCTCCTGGCTTATTAGTAAAATAGACTCCATTCCATTTTTCGCAGAAATCCACAAGTGCCCTGTTTTTCATGCAGAACCCATGTTCATATGGTTTGTTCATCTGAGTCACCAGGAAATATTTTCTTGACACCTTGTAGAGTCAATATGTGTGCTTAAAGTGTAAAAGCTGCATGAAGAACTGTCTGCTAAAATGAAATTGCCAGAAATTTTAGCAATTTTCCAAAGAGGGGTTAAATACCAAATGAAATCAGGAATTACCAGCTCATAATGCCCAACTATGCCTCAATTTGCCACCATTTTCTGACTTTTATCAAAAAATAAGTGACACTTCTGCACTATTATCTTGTACTGAGTTGACCTGAGCCACACTTTCAACTCTCTCGTGGAGTCAGCGAGGCTAGGAAATGTGAGATGCCCTTGTTTAGAGTGTGGAGCTCTTAATATCATGGCCGTGGGTTCAGTTCCCATGTAGAACAAGTAGTTTATTTTAAACCTTTGTCTTTCTCATTCGCTCCTCTGTGCACTATTTCAGATTACTGTCTCTCTTCCTCCCTCCCTGTTTGCTCCAAGAAAATGCCAGAAAACTGTAGCTGGCTGTTAATTAAATATTTGTAACAGGGACTGATCATTTCAGTTGCATAGATCCTTTCTATCTGTTCCTATGAATAGACAAATCTAGGATTTGGGCCCACCATTGTGTTGCTGATTGCCGTTCAAAGCCAAGGTAATGGTCTACCTGGAAGTAATCACAGCCTAGTACAGCGATGGTGAACCTATGGCACGTGTGCTACAGTTGGAACGCAGAGCCCTTTCTGCTGGCACGCAAGCCATGAGTCGCCAGATCGCTACTCCCCCCCCTCCCGCAGCCAAACCTGAGCAGGCAGCTGCAACCGCAGTGCTGGCGGCTGGAGAGGCAGCGGGTCAGGATCCAGAGCAGCTTGTGCTGGCAGTGGATCCAGAGTGGGTCTCGAGGCACCTCCGTGCCCGGGATTCTCCCTTCCGTCACCACTTCCGGTTCCGCCGCCGCCACTTCCAGTTCTGCTGCCCCCTGTTTTGGTTTTTTCCCAGTTTGGGCACGCAAGCTCAAAAAGGTTTGCCACCACTGGCCTAGTACCTCACACCATGCCCATGTTGCTCATATAATGCCTCTGTTAAGAATGGGTTTCTTAACACCTTTCATTTCCTGGTATACTGGAGCTTGAGTGAATGAAGAATGTCTATAACACAATATGTTAAACGGAAAGGATTTTTTTTTTGTTAATTGCATAAACACAATGAGTGTGACCCAGATGTCTGTGGATGGACCACCTTTATGCAGAATATTACAACAATTTTGGGGGCTGGATTTGATGATCCATAGGGTCCCTTCCATCTCTGCAGTTCTAAGGTGGTGGTGGTGGTGGTTGTCGGTGGTAGCAGCGCACCAGGCAAATTAGGAGAAGACATGTCCTACAGACCTACTTTCTTCAACCTGTTGGTCATGTTGGTTTATCGTTCTCCTGGCTCTGTGGGGTGTTTTCTAAAAGATGAGCTTTTATAATCAGATAACAAAAACAATAGCATCAATTCAAACTCAGTCCAAAGGGGATTCTGTAAGAAAACAGAACATATGTCCATGAGGTCTATGCACAAACAAGATAATCAGAGCAGGAGTCCCCCACAGAGAATAAAATGGGTAAAAACCTTTCTAAATCTAAATGGAGTCAGGATCAGAATCTCAAGATAGATTTCTCTTTCAAAGCCCTCTCCTTCTACGAGGATCTAGGGCTCAAGGAAAGTAGTTCTGGAGACAGCGTCTTTTAGGCCTTGAAATAACATAGATAGAAGGACAAGCGCAAATACCAGCTGTCACTTCGAGGATTTGCCCTTCCGTTGCCCCTCCTGCATTAACATTTCATTCCCTCACTCAAAATGATCAGGGCCTAATCCCTCCTCTGAAGCAACAGAAACCCCTTCCTTGTCCATCTCTTTCTCAACTGAAACATCATCATCATCATAACCTATTCTGAAGGATTTTCCCACCCACTGGGCTGGACTAAATAGCCCACAGGGGTGACACAGGGAGAGAACAATGGGAGTTGTAGTTCAACACACACACACACACACACACACAAACACCTTGGATGACATCAGGTTGGGCAACACTGCTCAAAAGCAAGAGTGTTTTTTGACAATCAGTAGAAAGTAACAACGTGAGGTGAATAACAGTGATACAAACAGGCCAGTTGTTTCCCTCAGGGGCCTGCCCCTGTGCCCTGCCCATGCCTGTGGAGCCTCTGTGTCCTCTTTGTGAACTGGATTGTGTGTCACCCCGTGTTAACCTTTGTCACAGGAAAGCTGTTACAGTGGCCATGCATACAAATGTTTGTAATGCTCAGGCGTACAAGTCACATAAATGCTAAAACATGCAATCAAGATGGAACCACAGTAAGCGTGGCCCTGATATTTGCTGACTGTTTTTTCCATAGTTGTGTTTTGACTTTGTCATGGTTGGGAGCAGGGAGCAGGGTGGGGTGAGGAGTGAAAGAATGCTGCATCCCAGAGACATCATCCCATCCTTCCCCAACAAGTGTTATAGCCTGTGAGCGTTTTGAATTCACCATTATGATTTGTACATGTATAACCTCCATAGCACAGGCATTGAAAAAATCAAGAGGGAGGCAGAAGATGGGATATGGTTGATCTTTATGGATATCCTTGCTCTTATCATAGACACTGTCAGTGCTAACTTATTTGTTTGGATCTGAAGGTGTTTTTTTTAAAACGGCATTTCAGTCCATCATTTCTTAACACCCTGTGGAACCATGAGAAATCTGAATTGCATTTTGTTGTTGTTGCGGCGGGGGGAAGTCCTCTCCACCTTTGTGTAAAAGAAATATGTTTGTCTCCCTCATATAGAACGTGCATCTTTAGTCTCTTCGAAGACCCACCTGTGACTGGACCTGTTCTCTGCTGGTTCCCTGTGGCATTAAGCACAGCTAAATGAATCCATACACACTGAAGAGATGCTTCGGCAACCCAACTAAATCAGAAATGGTTAAAGGAGCTCTCTCTCTCTGTCCCACACACAGCGCTAGGGGAGATAACCAGAAGCAGTAAGTGGCGAAACCGTCAGGCAGCCCTGACCAATTTTGCTAATGCTTTTTGTGCATTCGCTGCTACGGCTTTGCGCCCAGTTTTCCCCATTCCACCCAGAATAAGCCATACATACCATTGATAGCCTTGTTTTATAATTTTGGGCTAGCAAGAGAGTTTACATAAAAACCACCTCCTCCATAATGTCTTAATTTTCATGTGCTTCCCCCACCCCCTCCCGTTAATTAACAAAGCATCTGCACTTTGGGTTCTTGCCTAACTCTGTCAAATGCTTCCAGTCACCGAATTGCCACCATTTATGTGTGCTGCGGAATGACGACGACGATAACAATGTATTTGTGACCTAAAATTAATGCCGCTTTGCTGCTCCTTTGCTTGTTATTGTTCAAATGTTCCGTGAAAAAGGAAGCATCCGCTGACCAACTGTGCAAATAATCTCGGCTAACGACTCCACAAAAAGGCAGGCTACCTCAGTACCAATAAAATTTTGACATTGCAAATGTTCTTTGTGGGTGTGCTTTTTTTTAAAAAATCAAACTTCTGTACTGAAAATTAAAGCCACACTTTTTTTTACTTTGGAAAAGAAAAAGAACAATTGTCATATAACCGTGTGGCTCTTGACTCTGAAGGAGACTTCCCTTGGTTCCTCAGCAGCCAGTCCCAATGGAGAACCTGACCATTCTCTCTCATGTTGCCAAAGATCAGAGCTTGTCAACCTTGCTGGATCCAAGGGCTAGTTTTCTGGAGGCTGTACAAAATATCAGGAATGCAAACAATGAAACCATAAGCAACCCACTTCTAGTTATGAAAAATTGATAACTTTGGGGTAACAAATAGGGCTGTCACCTGTTACCTGTTTTAAAAATGAATCACCACTCCTGGAGGTTTCCGGGAAGTTGCAATATCACATGTGTTTGCTAGAAAGGGAGGAGGGGTCAGTGCAGGGCTGGGAGGAAGGCCAACAAAGAGCCTTGAAAGCCCACATGTGTAGCCTGTGTGGACTTTGTTCATTCCTGCCTTTGATATACTGTAATGTGGACACATACAGGTGTTTCATCAAAACCAGAATAGTGGTCAGTCTGATCCAGTATGATATTGTTGGACCAGCAGCAGGAACAAGGGTGGGGGGGAATTTAGGGTAGAAACATGAGTCACATTGTGGTTGTTTCATGTGATCTCTGCAAGAACAAAAAGAGGACTGACAAGACCCTTTCCTCCTTGAAAGATTAACAGACCTATTTTTACCATTTAAAACTGTACCTGTAGAACACCTGGTTTCTGTGGTTGCGCATACACGATCAAACATTGATGTGCTTACAAAGAGTAGGTTTAAAAGTTATTGCAGTCAGTGATGCAATAAAAATAAAAATGTTCATAGCTCTTATGAAGAACTGCATTGCTCAGGCCCCACCTCCGTCCCGACTGTTATTTGGTTATATAGCATATTCATCCCCCTAAACTTCACAACCCTTGTCCTCCCCAAGGCCATAACGAGGGTGAGGCAACTTGGATTTTGCTCAAGGTGCCAAATTTAGAGGACACACACTTTCCCCCCCAGATTTCCAAGATTTGTGTGGCAGACAGTTTACCACCAAAGAAAAAGCAGAAGGTCAGGCCTCTGGGTGAACATTTCCACCCTGCCTGATGCGGCCAGTAGACCAGGCCACCAGGAGAGAACAGGGAAGCTGGTCAGTGTACAAGGTTCCACGGAGGCTACAGAGAGCAGGTATGTCCAGGGCTCAGCGGACTTGGGCATGACATGAATTACAAAATTGATTAGGGGATCCATGATGCACTGCTTGGCCGCATTGCCAAAACTCCTAGTTACAGCTTGGGGTCTGTCTCTTGATTGGGCATGACATGAATTACAAAATTGATTTGGGGATCCATGATGCACTGCTTGGCCACATTGCCAAAACTCCAAGTTACAGCTTGGGGTCTGTCTCTTGTCTTTTCATCTCATCCAGCCACAGACCAAGCAAAAGACACACGATAGGGCAGAGTCACGCTTGCATAAGCTAGCCATGTGATTTCTCCTTCTCTGATCGTGCTGCAAGAGGACACAATTCCCTCCCTCCGCCCTCACATTTCCCTCTGTCTTGACATAAGACCAAGATGACCCCAATGACAAATCAGATGTTCCTTGACAACACCCTATAACAGAATTAAATGATTTATGGGTTGGAGGATTGGTCTAAATAATCCTAATTGGAGTAAAATCTATGAATAAAAAGTATTTTTCTTTCCTCTTATATTCTGGCAGTGCATATTTTTCCAGCTACCTTTGGTATGGGCTAGCCAGCTTAATTAGGTCTTCAAATCCACGCTAGGAGAGGTCCATACAAACTGTCCTGGGTTCGTTTTACATAGAGACAGCTGGCTGTGGTCTTGCTCCAATAGATATTGGCCAAAATCCTGTTGCTTAGTATAGTAAATCACACTAGGGTAGGTCCATTGAATCAGTGGAGAGTTAGTTAGTTAGTTAGTTAGTTAGTTAGTTAGTTAGTTAGTTAGTTAGTTAGTTAGTTAGTTAGTTAGTTAGTTAGTTAGTTAGTTAGTTAGTTAGTTAGTTAGTTAGTTAGTTAGTTAGTTAGTTAGTTAGCTAGCTAGCTAGCTAGCTAGCTAGCTAGTTAGTTAGTTTGTTTGTTTACCAAAGCCACTCTGGGCGGTTTACAATACAAAACTTAAAAAAGAAAACAAATTAAGAACAATAAACAAAATAACTAGCAAATCAAAGTTTAAAAAAGAAAACAAATTAAGAACAATAAAATAACTAGCAAATCAAAGTAAACAACACATACGCAAAAGCAACATAGAATTAACTGAAAATAATTAAAAATAATTTAAAGGCAAGTTGGTGGAACTAAATAATATGAATGCTGAAACAACCACTGTGTTACAATGTTGTGAACTCTGGGAAAGCCTGTCTAAAAAGCCAGGTTTTCAACGATCATTTTAAAATTCTCAATGAAGAGGCCAGGCGAATTTCGGGCAAGACCTTATTCTGAAGACGAGGAGCAACCACTGAGAAGGCCCTGGTTTTGTTCCTCTCTTGGGGTCAGTGTTCTCAGCCACTTTCGGGCAAGACCTTATTCTGAAGACGAGGGGCAACCACTGAGCAGGCCCTGGTTTTGTTCTTCTCTTTCCGAGCCTTTCTTGGGGTCAGTGTTCTCAGCCACCCAGCCTTGGAAGATCGTACAGGACAGGTAGATATCATTGGAAGGAGGCATTCTGCCAGGTATCGATGTAGTGACTCAACTCCTCCATACATTCCACTGATTTAAATGGGCCTACTCTAACTGAATCTCTTTGTAAGGGAAGACAAAGCTTTTGCTTTAAAATGTACTCAGATCCTTATACTTTGAATGCTTAGCTCTTACAAGTCTCCTTGAATCAGCTGTATATTCAGCTATGCTGGTGGTGCTAAATTATGCTGCCCATTCCTTTTTCTCTCTTCATATTTAATAGCAGGTGAGAACTTAATCACTCAGTCCTGGACAATGATGAGCCTATTGAATTTGTCCAGTGCAGGTGGTAGAATTTCACATGCCTCCGTGTTTTGTTTTTTTCACAAAAGGAAACGTTTACAGAAATTTACAGAAGTTTGCAAATTTCTTCATTCATTTATATGTTCTATAGGAAGAAAATCAAGGGAGAAAGCAACACTGTCAGATTCTACCCTCTCTGGATTGGATGCATACCTATACAATTGAGCTTATAAATCTTATCTTGGTTTACAGCTCCTAGGGGACAGATTTGTGGGACTTGTGATACAAAATGTAACTTTTCCAACTCCTGAAAAGACATTAGTGGCCAGTTGCTGCCTCAGCTGCTCAAGGTGGCTGTTTATTTCAGATCCATAACCCTGGCACCTCAGAGACTATATGTCATGTCTATTGCTGCCTCTCCTCTCTACTTATTTCTCTGAGCTGATGAGAGAGAGGTGACATGGGGAGGATTAAAGAGAGGTGTTACAAAGCAGAGGAGGGCTTGTCTTTCTCTCCTCTTCCTTGTGAAAATCAACTGATGAATGTGGAGGTGGCATAAAAGTAATCCCAACAACAACAGATGAATTTGACAGGAAGTTCATCCACTGCAGCATTGGATTGCTTTGTAACAAATTGATGAAGATCATCTGCTGAAGAATTCTAGAGTGCATAAGGGTATGTCCAGCTCTGCTTAGGTTTTGAAGGATCTACCCAGACTTTTAAGAGGGGGAAGATAAGAAAATACATTCAGACCTCCAGAGGTGGCAGTTTAATAAACATTGGCCTTGGCATAACCTTCCCAGCCAGTTGTATTCTCAATATAACTGTGATGAATGTGGGCGATGTGTGTCTTTCAGGAATTCTTTCACTTTTTGCTCTGATACTTCGTTTTCTTCCTCATTTTCAAGACTGATTTTCTTCTTGCCTCTTCCCTGAGGAGGTTAATGCCTCTCATATAAAGGTAGGATATGTACTGTATGTTAATATTTATCCCAGAGCTTGGAAGTAAGGAATTGCAAGTAATGTAGCTACCTGTAATCAATTACTTCTTAAAATTCTGGAGCAAAGGTGGGAAGAAAATTACATTTCGAAAGTATTGTAAGGTGTAGGAAGGAAGCCTTCTCCTTTGTAATCTCAAAAATAACACCTTATTTTTTGGAAAGGAGACGTGTAGTGTGATCATCCTTGAACAGAGGATGCAATGGGAAATTTAGTTGATTGCTCTAGAATTAATTTTGGAACAAATCTTCACTGGACATGGCATTCTGTAAGCTAAGGAGTCAGCATTATTGGGTCCTGTTCTTTTTTCCCCTGCTGATTTATCACCCCACGTCAGCTTGTAGAAATCTACAATGTTATGCTTAAGACACTATGATGGAGCTTCTTATTTAAGAAGCCCAGCTTACGGTTCTTTCTTTTGGAGATGCAGACCTGGTATATTGCAGCAGCATGGCCTTCTCAGTTGTGGCTTCGACAATGTGCATTGTCCTCCTCTCGGATGAATTCTGGCTGCTTTTCTAAATGCATTTGTTTAGTGAGCTTCTGATAAATTCTCCTTGACTGTGCTTGAATTTGCTTTATTTTTCTGGGTTTTCATTTGCGCATGATTACATTTGTAAACTGCTTTGGAAAAGTTGTATATATCTTGCAAAATATTTTAGTTTGTTATCTGATACATCTTTCTCAGAAAAGGATAATTCAGGTTGTATAACTCCAGCTGAACACAGGATGCATATTTATCTCATGCACACATAGGAATTAAATTCTAAAATACAGCCTTAAGTATCTCCTGCTCTTCTGGACCATTATCACACCCTGTGTGTTTCCGGTCATGGTGGGTTAGGCATCCTTAATAGCCTATTTATTGAAAAAGGTATGATCAGCTAATGTTTCTTTTTCACACATACACACACACATGAATACACATAATTGTCTCCAGTACTGTACTGATTTATGTAAGCTTGATGGAAAATCCCACTGCGAAA